AAAACTTGGCAGCCATGTAGCTGCTCCTTAATGCAACAAAATATGCAGTCCTACTGCAACAGCCAACAATTGAAGCTTATAGCCAACATTACCAGATTATCTATTTGATGGAGCATGGTTTAAGCAAAAGAGCTAATAAGTCTTATAAAGTCCAAGTTTGTATTTTGCCAAATTATGACTTTTTCTTGGGGCGTCAAGTTTTACCTTCTCTTGTTGTATATATCATATCTTAAAATTTTCTCATTTGAATCATTTACTCTATGTAAAGCGTAATATGGCTTGTGTTTGGGAAAAAAACATTGAAGGTATTGAAGGAAATGTCAAGTGCGAAGTGAAATTAGTTTATATGCTAGCTTAAGCAACTGTTGCTTTTGTATCCTTTACGTGCACTCATTCTTGTAGGTGTAAAGTTGCCGAACTTGTCTATTCTACTGCCACTGGAGAAGACACAAATTCAAACTCCATCAGGGGAGAAAACTATTAAAGTTGCTGGAAGGTATCAGTTCTCTTTTCTGGGAAATTTCTGACTTTTGTGTTTATTTACTTCATGATACTTTTGCATATTGATACTTTTAAAGCAGTTATAGGATTAGTGCTGCGCATGTAGATTGCTTTATTTTTGGTGAAGTAAATATTATGTCATGATGCATTATGTATCTTAATTTGGTGTCTTAATTTGGTTCAACCATACTGGTTTATACTTTATATTACTTGCGTAGAGGGCATGGCATCTTCAATCTAAATTAGAAAAACAATTTCCTCTTTTTGTTTTTATTTTTTTGGTTTGAAAATTCACTTAAAAGCATTTAATCTCCTCTAAAAATGTTGAAATACTGAACTTCTTTTAAGTATGAAATATCAGATACGGGTGTTGTACCATGGTGCTGTAAAGATAATTGTTGAAGGAACTAAAGACATTATGACATGAAATGAACTGCTGCATCTGACTTCCCATTGGCAGTCTGTAGACCAGCATGGATGAGTTGTTTCTAATTAAGGTTTTATTAGCTCAAATATGTTAAATTATTCTCACTGAATCAAATATAAAAGTTGGAAGGAAGATGGTTTTCCCAATTCTCATTGAGTACTTATGTCATGGCCAACTGCTAAATACCACCAATAGGCATCTGTTCCATTTATTTTTGGCTAGTTCATCTTTTTCCCTTTTTCTTCTGTGTGGAGAAATGATGCAAACCTGATTCTATGATGTGTAAAAACTATATGTAATGCACTATTTTGGTTGACAGGATTAGCCAAGCAGTTGCAGCATTGCTGAGGAGGCTTGGACTACATTTTGTAGGGAATGAATCACATGGGAAAGTAAGAATTAATGGCGGTGCTGTGAAAAAATGGTTCCAGCCAAAGCTTGATTCTCCTTTTAGTGGAAAGCCTACGGATCGGAGCTCATTCCAAAGGCGTTTGGGTAAAGGAATCATGTATCAACAGAGAAACATTAGAACAGGTGATTTGTCTTTAGACTAGTCAGTCTGTGTATGGTCCAAGGCAATGCATGAGGCTTAGCTTATTCACTGCCTTGTTTGACCTCCCTGTTGATTAGCATTGCCGGGCAGTTGGAGTGGAAAGGTTTATGGGATGATCACTTCTAAATACTTTATACTGTAAGTTCAAGCAAGGTTAAGATGTTATTATCAGGAAAATAGTAGAGTTAGTCCTTGGTTTTAGCATCGTAACATCTCCTAAACGAGTTGAGATGCGTGTAGCCTCTTAAAAATAGTATATATGCTCCTTGGACGTTATGAAGACACGAAGTCTTCAGAGAATTTTGTATAAACTTATGAAGGAGATATATTATTCATTTATTAGTTAGTATAGGTTGTTGAGATTCGTCTACTGTCTGTCAATATAGTTATACATAAATATTTACTTTAGGCTGTATTACTAGTTGATTTCTAGGCATCTCAGAGCGTACGGAGTTACATTGAAGACAAAGGAACAAACACATTGAAGAACAAGGCAGGTAAAAGACTGAAGTTTTAATTCATGTATCAGGCGTCAGTTATGTCAAAGGCAAGTTATGCACGGCACCTGATGCTGTTGCCACAAATTGGGCTGCTTTTTTATTTTGTTGTTGGGAGTTTTGGTTAACATACTTTTAATTCTACACCTAAGTTTTCATATTAATGCACACACTCACATTTATTATACTATTTGCATTTAGATACCTTGTCAAATTAACTGTTCTTTTGCAACAAAATTAAACACCTCAAGAGTCTTTTAACAAGGGCACTTGTTAGCCCTTTTTCTTTTTTCTTTTTTTTTTTTTAAAAAAAATTTAGGGACTTGGCATTTCAAGCTAAATTGAATCAATTGCTCGAAGCGGATTGTGAAATTCCTTTTTACGTATTACCTAATTGTGTGCTCTCCCTTAAGGAATGGATTTTCAGAATGTGCATTTAACTATTTAGGAAGGCTCCTTCAAAAAAAAAAAAAAAGAGTTATGTAGGAAGGTATCATTATGTCAAATATTAACAGGATGACAAGTATTTAACTATTACTTAGGTGCCGGACGGATTGAAGAAAGATCCAAATTTCTACTTGTCCCAGAAAAGAACTGACCTAATACACTTTTCTTTTGTGTAAAAAGCTAAAAATGCTGAGGATTGGCCAAACTCTTTCGCCGCCTTCTTTACGTGCTGATGAACTGCTCCAGTGCTTTTTAAAGTAAACTGCGGACTCAAAATGATTAATTGAAATGATATAATAATTCACGGATCCAAGCTTATAAACTAAACTTCCGTTACTTTCCGAACGCATGTAGAACTTGGAATGTCAGGGATTAGGATCTTTTCCATTGAATTTCTTTTCATAGTTTCCTCCATTTATTCGCATCTATTATTTTATCTCTATAAATCATCTAGTTGTGTTATTATTTTTCTTTTAATTTTTAGATCAACATACTAAAAATTGATATTCTTTTAAGAATATTTTGATATTTAATTTACACGAAACATTTAGACGGTAGAAAATGAGTCAAAGTAATGATTGATCAGAGGGTAAAATTTAGTCAATTATATATGAAATTTTGTGTATAGCCAACACAACTGATGAAATATACTATGAATAGTGTTAATTTTCAAACATATTTTTAAAATTAATTTTATTGGGTGTAAGGTGGAGAAAGAAATCCTTTCCAATGCGACGAAGAGAAGCTTTGGTACGGAATAAGAGCTGAAGCTGTGATCCTTAAATGCTCCGAGTACTAACAGAGGATGTGTGAGAGACAACTGGACATGGTTACCCTCCTAGTTGACTGCGTATATGTAGACATAGTCCAAATGTTGAAAAACCTAAAAGATTGAATTTTTGTCTGGCGCCTGATTGCAGTAGAGTTCCAGCAACTAAATCGGCGAAATTGCTCTGATCGACAATGATCACAACCTGTCACATGGCTTTGCTTGTGAAACTCTAGCAAATTTTTGAAGCATCAATAACAGCCCCGTAGTTGATTCCTCCTACTTGTTTGTTGGATTTCTTGTCTGCAATTAGCGAAGGTGTTGTAGGAAAGCCATTGGATTAGGACCTGCTTCATTACTGATCAGATGGTTCTGCTAATGAACCTATCATTCCACCTTGTTTCATTCACCTCACTAACCTGTGGTGCTTTGACCCCACATGTTCCTTGTTCTTGTCCATATGATTGCTTACTGTCTTCTGTTGCAGCGAGTGCATTAATATTTGGATGCTAACCATACAAGCTGAGGATAAATCAATGCTTCTGCTTTATTTTGCTAGATGAAAATGGGTGGAGATTTTCACCAGTAAATTAAAGGGAAAATATACGTTTAAGATCGTCACTTCACTTTGCTTAAACACTTGCATCCCAGCCAGACGGTAAATGTGTTTGCCAGAAAAAGAGAAGGCCCCGGAGGGGGTAGATAGGAAGTAGACTCCCGCAATCCTTCGTCTATATTGTGTGGTTCATATCCTCATTATCGTTGGCAATTCTTGGGTTCAAAAATTTGTAGTCCATCCTTATTATCACTTGGTACGATATCACTTGATATCACTTGATACGATATCGGGACGATATAATTTCGAGATACTCGACTCGTCGAGACGTTACCGTGAAGGGTTGAAATGGCTGAGTCACACCGAATCACTCCGACCCATCCTGAGTCAATTCGAATTTTTATTATTTTTACTAATTTTTAATTATTTTTATTTATCATATTTTTTTACAATTTTTAGAATATTAAATATTTCAAAAATTCGCATTTCACCGAAACCGCTAACAATACACCGAGATCGATATGAAACGATTCAGGCCGCGACCGCAACCGCAACCGGGACCGCGACTTTGAACCATGCTCGGTATGCGTCAGGTTCGTCATATGAACCTTTGCAAGCACTTGATCATCTGATTGACCATCTGCGAGGCAGATTACACATTGTTGATTAAAAGACAGGTACCATGGTTCTTTTCTTGTTGTAAGGTTGCAGAGAGCTTTCTTTCTTGAAGATTTGAACCTTCTGCGCATTGTATCTTGGTGGCCATGGAGTGGCAAGGCTAGTTTAGGCAGCTTAGCAGACTGCTGACTCCCAAAACAGATCGTATAGGTTTTTAAACCACAGCTGTCTCATTAGTTTACTCTTTTCCAACATTACAAATCTGGATTTTAAACTCGATGGCCCTTCAATATCCACTCTGAGAGTTTCTTCACATGTTATTGCCTTGCCTTGTGATTCAATATCCACTCTGAGCTCGTCCATTGGATTTATCTTAATTGACGCCTACTATTTTCAAACTCTATGTATGATCGTCTACAAAAATTTATTTAGACGAGCACGATTGCTGAGGCCTGGGTGAAAAGTTATAATTCATACCAACTCTGCTTTTCAGATGAGCTGAATCCATAGAAACCAAAAAAATGGATAAAGTTGATTTAACTTGTATAATTGTTTTGTAGCCTCTGAATTTCGCTAAAGGTAGATTTTTACATGGGCTTTACAGCCCTGATCTCTTGTAGGTAAAAAAATTCAAAAAAAAAAAAAAAAAAGAAGAAGAAGAAAGATAAAGATAGTAAAGCTCTCTTGTCAAAACTGCAGAGACTTGTGGTCTAACTAAGCCTTTACAGGGAGTTGAGTCGAGAAGTGAGATCAACAAAGGCATCCTCGTTGCAGGGAATTGTTAGACCCCCCATAGGATGATCATAGCCAAACTCTTCCTCTGCTTTGCGTAACAAATCCTGAAACGTAGGATGATTCAAGTATGATATGGGAAGCACAAATCGCTTCTTTTCCATCTCTCCTACGTACACCGCAAAATGGCCTTTAGGAACATCTGATTGACGATTTCTTTGCAGAAGAGATTGCAGTTTGTAGAACTGCCTAGCATTGGCAATCATAGATGGCAAACGGATCCCCATGAGAACGAGTAATTACTTCTTCTTCTTCTTCTTCTTGTTTTTTCTAGTTAGAAAGGGAATCTTGAAAGTTGAAGCTTGATTTGTAAAAGAAGTGGATCGAGTGGCTCTTGGTGGTATGGTAAGTTGGAGGGTTTGTGGATTGTTATGTATTTATAGCCTCCTTTGCTATCTGCTATATATTACTGGTACTTTTGCCTTTTCCGTAAAATAATACGGGGCTGCAACCGTTGTGGAAAGATGACGCGGTATCAAACTATCAAAGGGGTTGGTGATCATGAATCATGATGGAGAGGGGCCTCAGCCTCAATTATTAGAGCCTCACATGGCTCTGCCCAAGACTCCAATTTTCCATGCATCATCCATCAGAACCCCACTTGCCCCAGCTGAAGTCATATTTTATTTTTCTGAACTGAAGAAAGCATTCCGGGCCGCAATTGCTGCTAATGCCTCCAAAACCAAAACCGGCGATCGTACAACGGAAAGCTTTGACAACATATAATTCCATTATTCATGTGGGTTGGCTCTGATTTTTTATTAGACAAGTTGCCTGCGGAAGGAATGCAAACTAATTTGTGGCCGACAACCGAGCGCCATGTGCTGCTTTCAGGACATTTATCAAGCTCTCTGATTGCTAATACTACTCACACTGGATATGTATAATAGTCGGAGGGGATTCATGAATTACTACTACGTGTTCTTGAAAACTATCCAATAATTTTTGTCTGAGGGAGCTGTTCTTCCGTTTCGTTCCGTTCCAGGAATTTACTTTGCTTCTTGATCTTGTACGGCACTGTGGATCTCTCTCAAATGAGTAGAGTCCTCACAGAGGGCGGATTGAGATTCCTCGAGGGTATAATATATGGAGCTTAATGAGACCTTTGCATAATTCATTTCAGTTGCTTATTCGGAATGCCAGAAGCAAAAATCAGCTTCTCATATTGAGTATTCCCATCTCCAAATGCAGTTGCCACCTGCCCACCATTCTCCACGTTCTGCAGATCAATCATTAACTGACTCAATGAGCTAATAATATTCGTTTTCTTATCGAGTGCACTGCTCACACAGATTTTCGACTATCAAATCGTCCAATCCAATGTTGGATTGAAATAAGGGCGTCCATACCTGCCCCACCAACCATTAAAAAGAGACAATAATTGGATCATATTCACGAGTTTAGTCCTCCTGATGAGCACCATCTCCTCCATTCTCCGTCACAAATGCACACGTCCTTCCAAGTACATGCGATTTTTTTTTTTTTTTGTGTGTAATCATTACCCAATTATCCAAGTACTGTCTATCTGATGCCATTTGCTGCTATGGGGACTCTGAAATCCGGGTCCTTCCTTCCTATCCGAATGCGATTTGCTTTTTTTTTTTTTTTCCTTTTTCCGACGGCTTTTTCGTTACTGCAGTATTTAATGGTGTTGTGACAGACTTCAATTTATCATTCACGCCATCACATAGGTTTTAATGCATGATGATACTTAACTTCTGTTCAAAATTTAAATTCCTTTTTCACATACAGGTCATGCATCCAAATCCGCTACTACAATAGAAATTACCCCAAAAATACAAGTAGTATATATTATGCAAGCATTTCAGGAATTATGAACTGCTAAAACGCGCTTTGCACCGCCAAGTTACTTGTTTCTTCCTGTTAGTACTTGGCTCCTATCCGTCTTTTTAAAAAAAAAAATTTATGTCCTTTTTATTTTATTTTATTTGGGACAATCCTTTCCTCTTGCTCTGTCTAGATGATGAAATTCCAACGATTTCTTTCTTGGAAAGTAGATTTTCCTTTTATGGTGATAAATTTTTCTGGATACATGCTAGTGACTATTGTTGTCCAAGTAAATCATGTATAGCTTAGGAGAAGATGATAGGTAGACAGTGGCGTGGCTCGCAACGGATCTTCTGTCCCATATCCTGTGCCATTCTCTGTCCCACTTTTTATTATATTGCTATTTCTCCTTCATAAACATCATGTTTTAATTCTTTTTTATTTCCTTAAGATCCAATAACTATTAATTGAGTAATACACAAAATTTAACAAACTCAAAAAATAAAAATGCATAAAAAATGAGATTTTTTATGAATTTTCTGCTATAGTTTTTAATTTTCTATTATATATTGCTTTTTTGAAGCTATTGTATTTATTTTTTACTTAATTAATAGTTATTGGATCTTAAGAAAACAAAAATAAAAAAACAAAAAGGAATTAAAGCATGATGTTTATGAAGGAGAAATAGTAATATAATAAAAAGTGGGACAGAGAATGACACAGGGTATGAGACAGAAGATCCGTTGCGATATTGGCTAGTGTTCAATTAGTGACACACCTACACAACAAGAATTCACCAAGACAGCTCTTAACTTTACAAGTTTAAACCATATATATATGGCCTTTTTTGTTTGGGGTAGGAAATATGCTGGTATTAAGTAATCAAATATCTGCGTTTGGAAAAAATATTTTATATCTGCATTTGTGTTTCAAGAAAGATATACCCTCATTGACTGTTGACTTCTGACTAGATTTTCTAAAGAAAATATTTATTGATGTAGAAATAAGAATGTAGTACTGATTCGATTTGTTAAAAGGATCATCCATATATAATGGTGTAGTACTACTAATTAGCTTGAAATTTATATGCTATCCAGCAGTTAAAAATTATCACTGCCAATCGGCAATCAAATTTAAGCACTTCTGAATCATGTACAAGTCCTCCTCAAAGTAATAAAGTAGGAAAACTAGGGGTTTCAAATTATAAGAGCTAGGTAGATAATGGAATTTAAGTACAGGAACTACAACCTATATGCATGGTATAGCAGTATCGAGCAATCCCTTAATCGTTATTGTGTAGGAGAAAAGATAAACATGGAATTGCAGTGTAAAAATGCATTTCTATAAGAACAGAAATATGATAATTGGAACATTTTGTTTTTCCTCCTTATAATTATTTCTTTTCTGGGCCATAATACTGCGTATGCCATCGAAGCTTCCAACATGCTGGGCGCAGAAAATTATTTGCTGCTAACAAAAATGACGCTAATTTTCAGCCAGAAAAACCCAAGTTTCAATATATGGACTGGCCTGGGGCTGCAATATGCATTGTAACAGTAAAATTCCCAACAATGAAATAAGAGTAACAGTCTTATGTGTGTCATATTAATTAAAATAAAAATAAGAACCCTATTTAATTTCTGCTTTTCCTCGTAAGCTCAGCAGTCATTCAAGCGAGACGCCATATCAAGAAAGGCATTTCTGCTGCATGGGATGGTGAGGCCTCCCATGGGATGATCAAATCCGTTTTCTTCCTCTGCCCGCCTCAATAGATCCAGGAACAAAGGATGCTTCAAGTAGGACAGAGGAACCACAAAGCGGTACTTATAAGGCTCTCCAACGTAAACTGCCAAGTGACCCTTTGGGACATCTGCATTGCTGGATACAGCAGTTGGTGATGCATGGCCGCCATGCACACCAGCTCTCGACCTAAACACTTGCTTTGCATGAACCATGGCAGCTATCAAGCGAATTCCCATAGCCCAATTCTCTAGATTGAAGAGAAGGATATGTATATATGAGGACTTTGATGTATAGGTTGAAGAAGAATTAATACTTGGGGGGTTGCTGCATATTTTTCTGCAACTGAGTTCTTGTTTATAGGGAATAATGGTGGTCGAGTAGTATAAAAAATAAATAATGGTAGTCCTATGGCTACAAAGGCCCCTGGAGTTAGCCATGCAACAGACGTGTCCGCAGCAAATTGAACCCCATGCCCAATATCGTGGGACCAAGTTACGCCCTAAACAACAAGACTAAAGACTGTGCTTCTTGCATTATTGAGGCAGGGAGCCAGGGAGGAAGAGCTCATCCTCACAACGCTACTCCCTTCTTTCCCAACTTGTATGTGTGAGGAAATTCCTCTTCTTAATTTATTGCTATAATTGTTTAGTGTTTTCTAGCCGCGGTTTTGAGGGGTGAACCGCGACCGCGGCTGGTAACGCATTTCCTGTGTTCCTGATCATCAAATTATATATATCCTTAATGTGTTGCTGATATCAAAAGCATTCTACGTTTGTACGTACGGGCCCTATTATGTTCCCTGCCAATCTACGTACATTTCTTCCTTTACCACCAAATTAAGCCATTTGCATTGTTGTGTCTCACCATCGTGAGGACCCTGATTAGACGAGTGGCAAAAATATTGTTGTGCATTAATTCTGTCTCTCTAATCAGTAAGGTGATAAGAATTGAAGCATATATGTTAAGTCAGCTTCGATGGAGGTGGGTTCATCCTGACTTGGAGCTTGAGGTCCAAAACTGAAGCATGTACGGGATTTGGATCAACCCATCAGCTGGCTGCTTACAAACTGAAAAGAACACCAATCCATGGGTGTGGGTCAAGGGATCGAATCCCTTAGCCCGCATCCTTTTCCAAGACTTTTTGAAAACTTGACTGACGGATGCAAGGACACCTGTTTGATCCGGTGACAATTCAGTCTTCTCTAAGTTTCTCATTGACCTCTTAGATTTACTCTTCCTTTCAGTGTAAAGTAGAAGCAGGTGTAGAATAGATATTATCGTATCCAAAAAAAAAATAGATATTTTCAGACATGAAACTGATCTCTTCATGGTGCAATTTTGCGTTGATTCTCAAATTAAGCGAGAAATATGATACTGGTGCAATGTACGGGTGCACTTTGACCATTATCCTAAGAGCAAGCAATTTAAGTGAGGTCTCTGACTCAAATTCCGAAAGCTACCTAAACAAATATTAGGTGCCATCCTTCGCGTGTGGGATGAAGAACCCAAACTAGCTATATCTAATTATTGAAAAATCAGGTTTCGGGACTTTATTGGACGCAAAAATCTTCACTGCAAAATTCTAAGATATGATAAATGTAAGGAAGAAGAAGCCGACAGATGATATATTCATTTATTTTAACGTAAGGGGCGTCAACAGATAAAGGCGATGAAGATGCCAGTCGAACAATTAATGTCGTCGGATAAATTCTCTCTAAGTCTGTGGCGGAGATGAGGCGCATCTCCGGGAGTTGGGACGTACGTATTTGCCTACTATTTGTGTGGGCTGCGATGGTAATTAACCGTCCCAAACACTTCTAACATATTTTGGTTCATACATCTACGAAAAGCTTTCCTCCTATACGAAGTTTGTAACTATAAAAATTAGTACAATTTGTACTTATAACCTTTCTTTTTTTTTTTTTTGTTTATTTTCTCCGCCGGCGCCGGGGCCGCGGCCGGGAACCTCGAGATTTGATGAAATAGCCACGGTCGGGTCTAGGCCGCGAGCAAAAATGTGAAGCTGCCCTACCTTGGTTTCCATTTCACTGTGGGAGGATCCCATTGAGCGTTGTTGTGAAGCCTGATTTCTGCCCTTGGTTCTCACAACTGTCAAGTCTATTCCCAAACAAAGTCGTTAAGTGAAAAAAACCAAAAAAAAAAAAAAAAAAGGAGAACCATTAGTTTATGAGAGAAAACGAAAAAAAAATGAAAAGAAAGGAATTTTTAAAATTATTTTTTTTTCTGAAGTTGACAAAAGAAAAGTCATTTATTGCATTCTACTTCTTTGAGATTTTATACGTAATTTCTTGTTGTAGAAGACTTCTCTCGGTTTTTAGTGGTTTTCACCATTTCTTCCCATTTTGCAGTAAAAATTTTTGGGCTAGAGTTTCTCTTCTTTTATTTCCATTTATTCGGGGAAAATTAGCAAAGCGGAACTATCATGTCAAAGTAGTGGGTCCGATTCTCATTAATCTATTTCCTTATGAGCTGCAATACCAAAAATCTCCCGAATAGTAGAAAATTGGACTTCTTTTATTTTAATCTTAAATTGCTATTGCAATATGTTTCAAATGAAGCCTAACTTGCATCCATAATAAATTCTCAACATTTTCAACTTTTAACTCTTTATTTTTTTTTTTTTTTTTGAAAGAAAAGAAGAAGAAGAAGAAGAAGAAGAAAAGATCAATAATTTATGTATTAAACTATTTTCTCGTTTTACAAAATTTTCGTGTTTATCTTCCAAGGGTACACATTCAGGCTATTCAGCTCAAAAAATGGAGGGTCTTAAAGCAGAAATTTTAGCAATATGCAACACTTGTATTGTACAATGTGGATGACACAATCGGTTGCATTCCCAATCTGTATACAAAATTGAAGAGACTCAATTAGAGGTCTCTATTGTTAAAATTAGACGTACAAATCAGTGAAATCCTAACACTAATGAAAATGTAATGTACCAACGGATAGGTTAAAGCTGCAGGCCTCCATGCAAGGGGCACATTCTATAAAGAATTCAACACAGAAGTGAGATTGATGAAATAATCTTCAGAGCATGGAAAGGTGAGACCTCCCGTGGGATGGCTGTACCCAAACTCTTCCTCAGCCCAGTGCAACAAGTCTTGGAACAAAGGGTGGTTCAAGTAAGAAATTGGTATCACAAATCGCCTGTATGTTTCCCCAACATAAACTGCAAAATGGCCTTTAGGAACGTCATTAGTTTTCGAAATGCTTCCCTTTTTTGGTGAGATAGTCTGGCGAAGCTTTTCTTTAGCTTGAGCAATTCCGGCTAATTGGACGCCCATTTGTGGAATAGATCAAACGGAAAGGAATAGAGGAAGCTTAGGTGATGAAGACTCTGAAGTACCTTGAAATGTGGATGACAGCTAAAGAAAGCGAGTTAATTGATGAAATGTCATCTTAGACGCCTCAACATATATAGCATCTGGAAATGGTAGAAACGGCGAGCACTTGGGGAGTGTAAGCTAGTTGAATTATGAGAGTTGGCAAGCACATCAGGTGAGGAAATTGGCAAGGGATCACATGGTTTTGCCTAATCTATTTTGAGACACATTGCCCTACCACTTTGAGCTTGAGGAACCACAAGCAGTAATGCAACTTGATAGGACTACTTTTTTCGCTAATAGCGCCACATCTGTTGCACTAGGAAAGCATTCTCTAACCTTTGAAGATTTGTTTGTTTTTTTGACACCAAACACCACTTCTTGATATCACAAACAATATTCTCCAGTTCCAAAACACATTGAACCTAGACTTTTATATTCAGGTGGTATGTCTATGCCAATTATGTCGAGGACTCGTGGGGCTTGTCTAATGTGCAAGACTCAATATTACATATGTTTGGAATCTGCTTGCACAGAGAAGTACCTAGATGATTTGGACTCCTCAAGATTGACAAAGGCAGACAAAGTATAACCACAATTTCAGAAAACTACCAAAGCCAGATTAACTAATTTTTTTATAAAAAGTTCATCCCTTCAGTCAATTTGGCATAGTGATCAGTGGTAACCATTACTATGCTTGTCGCCAACGGTCCTAAAATTGTAATTTGAGCTGGCTGGCTAGTAAGCCTATTGCAGTAAAACTGCTAATTATTCTGCTAGTGCTGATGGAAATTGCTCAAGAGTAAATTGAAAAATCCACAGAACTAACGAGTTTAAGTTGTAAAATATGGTAAAATGAACTCAAAAGTATGTGGCGCCTTAGAAAAATATGAGTTTGTCCTAAAAGGAAAGGGGCGTTTGCCGTTTGATGTTAGATCAGTTGACTGCTCCTGTGCAGACAATATGGTGCCCGCCCTCATTCCGTGATTTGACTCCGAATTTCAGATTTTAGCCCTCTCTTTGGTTCACGCTAGGATTACAATCAATACTCAGTTATATGGCTGGTTGTGGAGTGGGAACATGAACAAGAAAGACAAGTGGTTCAGAAAATAGCGTAAATTAATAACGACCTAAGAACCAGAAAAGGCAATCAGCTTATGACTTGTTCAACTCGTCATATCTCTGGATAAGATCAATCTTATATGATAAAGGACATACTTAGTGTTGATATATGCCAATTTTTCTACAAATTTTATTAGGTATTGTTTGATATCAAAATAATTTAGTTAGTAGAAAAATAAGTCTTATTAGGATATTTGTTAACAAAAAATATATATTAGTCTGTTAACGAATATTTTACCTATGATTTATTAGGTAGAAAATCATGTTATCAAGTAATTTTTTGTTGAGACTTTTCAGAGAATTGTTAGTTGAATTGTGTTGATTTGTTTCCTTGTAAACACCATCAATAGGGTGTTTATGAATGAAGAAACAAACTTATTTTCCAATTTCATACAAGTCTTTTTATAAGTCATTTTTGCAACACTAAGATGTTGTTACTAAGTTTATGCCCCAAAAAATCCATAAAGTGGTATCAAGAGCCTATATCTTAAGGGTTTTAGTCTTTTTCTGAGAGTGACTGAATCTGGTAAGAATCGCTTTTTTTATTATAAAATTATACACTCAAGCTTTCAACATAAAAAATGTTAGGAAACAACATCTTATCCAATCCTCCAAATTTTATTGGTGACAACTACCAAATTTGGGTTGTCAAAATGAAATCCTATTTGGTGGCGGGTGATATTTGGGATGTGGTGGAAACAAATTTAGTTCTTGAATTGTCAGAATATCCAACTATTGCAGAGATAAGAGTTCATAGAGATGCAGTAAAAAAGAGATAAAAAATCATGACGTACATTTATTCAGCAATTTTTAATACAGTATTCATAAAAATTATGGCTTGTGAAATTGCAAAAGAAGCTTAGGATACTCTCAAGGTGACTTTTCAAGATAATGACAGAACAGAACAGAACAGATGCAAGTCTTGAATCTTAGGAGAGAATTTGAACTCTTTAGGATGAAAAGTACAAAAAACATTAAAAAGTACTCTGATAGACTCTTAAATATTGTGAACAAAATCAGATTGATTGGAGAACAACTTTCGGATAACATAGTTATGGAGAAAGTCTTGGTGAGTTTACTACAAAGAGTTTAAGTCAAGATTTCTTTTGTTGAAGATTCAAGG